GGACGACCCGTACGACGAGTTGATTGCAATACTCAAAGATCGCTTCAAACGACTAAAACGACTCGCAATTGACGGCAGATTCGTGAAAAGGCTTCGCAATCCACCCGCGAATCCATGCAAACGTATCACTCATTTAAAGCTCATACCATTGAGTTCTGATTACTTTAACTGCGAGAGCGACCACTTCATCGACAACGCGGACAAAGTGTTCCCGAGTATTGTCTCATTGAATTTCAGTTGTCTTATCGTAACGGATGGTGTGTTGCGGTCATTGGCGACACTCCCAAAACTGCGACTCATCAAGCTCATTGTTTGCGCCTCTCAGTTCACACAACACGCACTCAATGATTTATACCTAAATAAACCGGATACTATTATTGTGTTGGTTCACAATATATTCGATGAATGACACGATATATTCGTAATGTTTATATTGTTGATGACATATAGTATCTGTCGTAAACTACTTTCAAAAAACTGTATTCTTATGGTATTATCATGTGTTCAATATTCATGTTTTCTAATTGTATTTGACTTTAATTATTAAAATGATTTCAATTTTAGACCCTTTTTACAGTACTATTGCATCGAATATATTGTCGCCATTTGTTGAGCACTTGAGCTCTTGGGGCCCGAATCGGGTCGAGAGTCCAGTGCTAAGCATAACATAACACTCCCCACCCTTTCGACCATCAAATCGCCCCTAATATTAAATAAAAGTTACTAGCTCATAAGTTTGCATTTAATTTACAAAGTTTAAATAACTATTTTCATAAACTATTGTGTATCCATTAATGAAATTTTTTAAATAAATAAACTTTATTCAAATTCTGTGTTCATAATGATATGCTTGATAAGCGCATGTCTATTGTCTATATTGTAAGTTATATAACCATAGATCCCATTATTATGTGGTTTTCTACACAGAATCCAACATTCATTGCATACTAGGAGTGAAATAAAGGTTTCATTTATATTTATTAAGGAGTGACACAAACGTCTAATTTTTTATTGCTATTTAATATTTTTAAAACACATTTTCTTATTTGATAAAAGTTTTTACTATTAGTTTTAAAAATGTGTGAAAAGTATAGTAAAGATAGTTTTGACAGATTTGGTGACGATTTATGTGAAGTCCTATTGAGTTACCTATCATTTGAGGACCGATTCCGATGCGAATGTCTGTCCAAACAGTGCCAGCGGTTGGTGTTCACGACGTTAACGACTATTAAATTTGACACAAAAATCAATTACAAAAAGTTTGACAAATCGTTTGATCTAATCGTGAAAAAGTGCACAAATATCACCAAAATTGAGTTAACGGACAATAAAGTTGTGCTAAAAAACTCAATGTTTGACTCAATCATCAAACACTGCAACCGATTGAATGCCATTAACATTGAATTCTATGTATCCGTGAGTCTCGAAACGATTGACAAGTTTTTCGCAAAGTTTGCCATAAGTTTGAGAGCCATTCGACTGGTCGTGATGTCCACCGAAAAGCTATTAGAGAAAAGTCTCATAAAAAACATCATGTTTTGCGTGAATTGCGCTCAACTCGAGCTCTACTATCACTACAATAACAAAACATTTCACTTATTAAGCGGTAATGAAATCGCGATTCTGTTCCCAAAGTTACGCAAAATTGCTTTCGTGTTCAGCAATGAAGACCGCAATTGTTTCGCACAATTCGCGCAAAACTATCGCAAAACTATGCGATCACTGGATGTGACCATCAATTGGGACTGCGATGAGCGGGCTATTGATGAGCTGATGTCTGGATTGACACAAATGAGACAATTAGTGGACTTAAGTGTCAATATATACAACACTAACGAATCGGCGCTTATAGTGAATAGTTTGACACAAATTGGACACAATTTACGGCGTTTGAAGCAACTGTCCGTTTTCTATAGCCCTCCCGTTACCGATGAAAGCAATCAACTGTCAGTAATGATGCGAATAATTAACAAAAGTTTTACTCAATTAAAACGATTGGAAATCAAGTATTTTGTCGACGAGTTTGACTTCACGAGCGAATCGCTGAATAGATTGAAACGATTAACGCATTTAACCGTTTCGTCCGAAAGTCCGCACATTAATGACCCGTTTTTCGCTAATATTCACCAAAATCTGCCTAAACTTCAATACATGGATATACAGGTGAAAGGGGTTACATACTATGCGCTCAAATGTGTGCAAAGTTTGCCTCAAATTCGCTGCGTTAGGCTCACCGGTGATGATGAGCTGAAAGGTCTTAATATATTGTCAGTAAACAGTGGCCCGGATTCCAAATCCGAGGCCCCGGTAGGTGGGAAACGTGTGACACGAGTGGTCAGTGATTCTCGCGCTAAGCCATTTAGGGCTCCGACTAATAGGACCCATAATATAGTACTTTATTTTGATTAATATAGTAATATAAAAGTTTTTATTTACATTGCCTTGCGTACATATAAAATTGAAATTGGTGTTGTAAAACAATGTAATTAGTTTGATGATGTGTGCCATAAACATTTTAATTTATGTGCTTGTTAAATGTAAATTTATTTCGATGAATACAATATCACTGTAAATGGATTGATATTGATGTAAAATATGGTACATTACTGTATAATAAATGTCATAACGGCTTATGTGCAAAAAATTAGTGTTTGAAAATTATATCCAATTTTGGACTGTAAATTGTTGTCCAAAAATTTGCGTATGTAATTTACATGTATACCGTATGTTATGAATGATTATAACCTTGGATATTATTACAAAGTGTTACATAATGTTTACAATTTTTAACGCGTGCCTTTTATTAATATTACGGTACGATATATCCTTCATTTTCATAATATTGTTTGCATAATACCTGACAATTAAATATTGATTGACTTATTGTACATTTAACTTATACTGCTTTTTACAAAGGGTTTTCAAATAAAGTTGTGAAATATTTTTCAAATGTATGAAAATTACTATTACTGTAACATCTATTTAATTAATCTATAATGCATTGCATTTCTATGAAAATAGTTTTCAATTGATAGCAAAGTATTGTCTCATAAGTGGTGAGAGGAATGACCGCAAGAAGTAGTCATACAATGAATGCACAGAAAGTCTATCCGAAAGACTCTTTGGACCGATTGGGCGATGATTTGNCAAGAAGTAGTCATACAATGAATGCACAGAAAGTCTATCCGAAAGACTGTTTCGACAGATTTGGCGATGATTTGTGTCAACACTTATTGTCTTTCCTATCACTCGAAGATCGGTTCCGATGTGAATGTGTGTCCAAACAGTGGCAACGAGTCATATATGAGACACAGAAAGATCTTATTGTGAACTATAAGTGCAAAATATATCCCTTAATAACTGACAAAACATTTAAACTAATTGTGAGAAAGTGTGCAAACATTACACGAATTCAATACACGCTAACAAAACACTACTTCAAGTTAACAACGATTAAGACGTTTAATGCCTCAAAGTTGGAGTCAATTATGAAACACTGCCACCACTTGAATGCCCTTCACATAGGCTTTGCAAACAATTTAAGCCCAAAACGATTGAATGCTTTTTTCGCAAAGTTTGCCAAACAGTTGAAAGCATTTAATACTCACTCGTATTTAAGGTTAAGTGATGACCACAAGAAGTGTTTGGTTTATAATTTGAAATTATGCCACAATTTAACGCACTTTGATTTAAAGACTTTCGATGGAGAGATGGGTTTGTCGTGTGTATTGATTGGTGATAGAAATGAGGTGTTGTTCCCGAGATTACAAACATTGAAGTTTAAGTACACGTATGAAGACATGAATAGTATTGAAGTATTTGTTGAAAACTATGCCATGAGTTTGAAATCAATTGAAGTAACCTTTGATAGGAGTTGTGATGAGAAGTGCATCGATATACTGATGACTGGTTTGTCACGAATGCAACAATTGATTGATTTACAGATTCATTGCTATAACAAGTCATTGAGTGCTATAATAGTGAATCAATTGACACAAATCGGTACTAAATGTGTGAAAATAAAGAGACTTTCATTGCATTTAGACTTGGATTCGCATGACTTCACACTATTATTGCACAAAATTAATATAAACTTCAAACTAATCAAACGTTTGGAGATCATTGGCTATCCCTCGCGGTATGAGTTGCGGTGCGAATCACTCGACGGATTGAAACGATTGACACGTTTAACGATTTATAACTCGTTGTTAAATCGAGAGCCACTCGACGCCAAGTTTGCCACAAATATTGACAAACATTTGCCGCGACTTCAGTACATAACTGTCGACCGTTTGGTGATAACGGATAGTGTATTGCATTCGTTGGCAAAGCTCCCGAAAATACGATACATTGATCTCAGAGGCATTGAAGTCTACTCACAAGCAAGTGTTGAAACACTTAAAATTGTGCTCATATTACGGCATTTAAAATGAACCAGCCGTATTATTATAATAATTTTACATGACAATCTAATCGTATGTAATAAGCCATTTTAAATAGTGTATACATTATAATTAATGACAATATTTGGTTACTTTTAATTCATGTCTCGTATTGCATTAACTTTGAAAACTTTAATTTACTTTATAACGAATTTTACTGATTTATAAATGTAATGAAATGTAATAATTTTTTATAGCATTTATAGTTTTCATATGAATACTGTTAGACATAATTTTATCTAAATATACGATATTCTTTAAATATATTGTAAATTACTATATGATCCGGAATAAAATTTATAAAAATATACATTAAACGTTAAATATACATACATTATTTCTTACCATACTCAATAGCGTGTAATTTAATGCCATAACTTTTGAACAACTATTTTATGAGTTAATTTTTATTCACAATTATACTGCGAAACAAAAAAGTATTGACAACCCGTTGGGGACGCGAACCGACGCACGCATTGGTTGTATGAGTGGTGCGAAAGGGGCGCCACTTATGCACTGTTTGTCCGCACATTCACTGTCTGTTTGTAAACAATGTCGAAGATTTCATGTGATTTACTGTCAAAACGTTTTAATCATTCATTTGTTTCACAATTTGTGTTTCAGTTTAACTAAGTTTAGGCAATAATATACTGTCAACTCGTGTGCACTCGTATGGACAGCACCGGGAGTTAAAACTTTTTACTGTACTTTTATTGAAAGTTATGTTTTAACGTTAAAAACATTTTAATAAAAAGTACGCAAACATGGGGTAAGTCATTGAAAATAATTTAATTTAATTTGTATTCAACACTCAATTCATGTCATTAAATGGGTTTCAATTGATAGCAAAGTATTGTCGCATAAGAGGCGAGGAATGGCCGCAAGAAGTAGTCATACAATGAATGCACAGAAAGTCTATCCGAAAGACTGTTTCGACAGATTTGGCGATGATTTGTGTCAACACTTATTGTCTTTCCTATCACTCGAAGATCGGTTCCGATGTGAATGTGTGTCCAAACAGTCCGTTGCTCAGTATATACTCTGTGTCTTTCTAGAATAATAACTGATATTCACGTTTTATATAGGGAATTATTGACTGTTTTGTAAATTTGATTAACACTCTTTCACACGTTTGTAATGTGCTTAAGTTTACGAGTTAACAAAACATTACTTCAATTCAATAGAGATTAAGGCGTTTAACACATCAAAGTTGGAGTCAATTATGAAACACTGCCACCACTTGAATGACATTAACATACACTTTGAAAACAATTTAAGCGCTAAACGATTGAATGCTTTTTTCGCAAAGTTTGCCAAACAGTTGAAAGCATTTAATACTCACTCGTATTCGCTGTTAACTAATGACCACAAGAAGTGTTTGTTTTATAATTTGAAATTATGTCCCAATTTAACGCAATTTGATTTAAATGATTTGAGTGGAGACATGCGTTTGTCGTGTATATTAAGTGGTGCGAGAAATGAGGTGTTGTTCCCAAAGTTACAAACTTTAAAGTTTCGTTACTCTTATAAAGATGTGAATAGTTTTGCGGTATTTGTGGAAAAGTACGGAAAGAGTTTGAAATCAATTGAAGTGACAATCGATGAGAAGTGTAATAAGAAGTGCATTGAAGTACTGATGACTGGTTTGTCACGAATGCCGGCATTAATTGATTTGGAGATTAATGATTACGACTACACAATGAGTGCCGTAATTGTGAATCAATTGAAACAAATCGGCAGTAAATCTTTAAAACTTAAAAGTCTTTCAACGGGTTTGAGGCTCCAGTCAAATGAATTATTGACGCAATTATTGCATACAATTAATACACACTTAAAACAACTAAAACGCCTCCAAATTCACGTAACACTCCCCGAAAACTGTGTATTAATGTGTGAATCGCTGAATGCATTGAAACGGTTGACACATTTCACGCTAATTCATTCGCGACCACTGCTCAGTACACATGAAATTGACAATAAGTTTGTGACAGATATTGACAGACATTTACCACGACTTCGATACATAAGTCTCAACCGATTGGTGATAACGGATAGTGTATTGCATTCGTTGGCAAAACTCCCGAAAATACAATACATTCATCTCAGAGGCAGTGAAGTCTACTCACCAGCAAGTGTTGAAACACTTGAAAATTGTGTTTATATTAAGGAATTTAAAATTAACCAGTTGTATTAATATTATAATAATTTTACGTGACAATCTAATCATATGTAATAAACCATGTTAAATAAATAGTGTTTAATTTTAAGTGATGACAATATTTGGTGCATTTAATTCATGTCTTGCATTGCATTAACTTTGAAAACTTTAATTTACTTTATAATGAATTTTACTGATTTATAAATGTAATAAAATTAACAATTTTTTATAGTCATATATTTGTCATACTAATATAGGTACATAATTTTATCTAAATATTTATTAAACATATTAAAAATTATGATCCCGAATACAATTTATAAATAAAATAAATGGTGAAATCAATAGCTGGCTAAATGAGTTGCACAAAGTCTACAAATTCAGTGCATACCTAATAGTTTGGAATTTTATTTGAAACTTAATTTCCTAATTCAAATTAACCAATAGAAAATAACCAGTGCACTTTTAAAATCTTAATTATAAGTTCTTAACCACACTATTAGATATTCATTGTGTTTGTAGCCTTTTTGGTACCCATTTAGCCATCTATTGCTCCGGTATTTTGTAGATTAATAAATCTTATTTCCAGTAATTATATGCAAATATTTTTCAATTTTAAGTTTCAATTTAATTTGTATTGTATTTATATAGCAACTAAATGTACTTGGGGGTTAAAATATCCAGTTTATCTAATTAAGATTTATTAATAATACAATTAAGGTATATTAATTTATACTGTTTAAATAAGTAAACAATTTATTTTTTTAAAAACAAATACTTTATTATAAATCATGATTTAAAACATTTAAGACATGAACGCTATATGAAATGAAAGGGAACGGTATGCGGATGCCATGTGAGGGACAGGTAGTAGTGATAATCACCGGTTCTTAAGTCACGTTATACTTCTTCTTCACGTCTTCCATCTCTTCCAACTTCTTGTCCGAATCTAACCGTTTGAATGCCTGTCCACACGAAACACAAAACAATACAATTAATACGCAAATCAACACAAAAGTGTCCAAAAAACCACAATATCTTAAGTCTTAAGACACCCCACACTCTGGAGGGGACAGTACTGACCCGATTGGTCTGGTAGTAGAGGACCACGAGATACCGGTTGCAGACATTGAATCCGGACAAGTGGTCGCACGCGTTCTTCGCGTCAAATATGTCCTCAAACACCACAAACGCCGTCCCTTTGGTCTCCTGAGTGTTGCCACTGTTTCGCACAAAAACATACAAAACACGCCAATTAGTCGTCAAATATCAGTAAAATAACCACAAAAACAATGCGATAACTGTTTATAATACTGAACCCCTGGATAGTATATGCATTAGACGTCGGGTAACTGTCCACTAGTACTCACTATAACGGGGTTTAAGGCCATACACGACTCGTTATACTAAAGCATTAGTCTCTACGGCACGTGCGATAAACCTAAAGGTTTTTCGCCCGCAAAAAACACTCGTATAGTGTATACAACCGGCGCTTAACCACACAAACCGGGGGTTCACACGAGAGATAACAGTCCCGCACACCAGAACCCCACACACACTTAGGGACGTGAGGGGGGGCTGGTATGGGGGTGAGTGAGTGGGCGGTCGACTATACTCACAGCCGGATCTGTCTGATGGCCCCGTATTTGCCGAATATGTCGTACATCTCTTCGGCGGTGATCTTATAGGGAAGGTTTCGCACGTA